TGAAGCAACATCCAGTCATGTCTAGAGAGAGATGGAGGTTCAGAGATCTAAGTTAATGTAGGCCTCCTATGATTTTGAAGAGACTGGTAATAGCTAGATCCACGTAAATATGGAAGTTACCTAATGTTGTGCACTGAAATGCCACTATTAGGTGCCTGGATCCTGGGACTGAATCCATAGCCTTAAGATAACCTTGTGACCTTCATATACATAAAGTTAGATATCCGTGAATTGTGTTCACAAAAGTCAGCTTAGTAAATGGAGAGCCAGAGGAGGTATGGATGACTCCAAAACAGATTTTGCTGTGTCCTGCATGCAGGACATGCATGCAGATACCAGAGCCAATTACCTGTAAACAAGCTAATGAGCATACTGAGGGCAGTCCAGCCCAAATATAACAATCTTGTTATCATAGCTAATTTTCCTGGAGAAGTCTACTCCTAAAAATTCTGCACCTGAATGAGGTCATTTAGAACCTGCTTCATTATTTCTATGTATATTTTGTGCAGTAGGGGCCTAAGCAGAAGAGTTCTGACTAGAGAGCTACTGCCCTCCAGTTGGACTTAGTTTCCTACTTGTAACGCAGCTGCAGTCCAAAGCTGCAGATTTGTTTTGCAGACCCTGAGCAGTGAGAAGTGATTGGTTTGTGTTTAATTCCGAAGTAGTTTTCTGTGTATGTCCAAAGTACACACAAACAAGAGCACAGAACTTAAAAAACCCATTATTTGACGTGACTTTCTCCAGTTAATATGAGGACTAGGATAGCTGTGTAGGACGTAGAAGAACAGGACAAAAACTCCTGGACCTTGGTAGAAAGAGCAGCTTACCAGTTTAGCAAAACACTATGCAGACATCCAGAAGAGGCATGGGAAGGACTGTGATCCCCATAGCATTGGCATTAATCATCTTTGGTGAAGCATTTCTTATGAAAACTACAGTTTTATAACACTAAAGGGGAGGCATAGAAGATGCAGCCTATAACACAGTTTCCAAACTGGGAAAGATCAGCTTTGTCCTTTAGAAAGAGATTAAAAAAATCTAGAGTCTAACATCTGTACAGATGTTGCATGCTGTGGAAAGATTATGTAGCAGTGCTCCCTCCAGACGTCAGCGTCTGTTTGAGGTGGGAGGGAGCACGCGTCTGCCTTCCCCTGTGTGCATCAGCACTGTTCTCATTCTAACAATGGGAATTGTCATTCTCTATTAAGCTCATACTGAAAGCTTCAAATAAAAGCCTTAAAAGCTCAGCTGAAAGTATTAATTCTGAGGGAAACATGTGAATCTGGATGAAATCTTCCATTCATTTTTAATCTTGCTATGGTAAACCTTGTAATTAAGATGATTGAATAACATAATAAAGCCCTATATTTACATCCTTTAGAATACCACAATGAAAAGCCATAATCCTGTTTATGGAAAAAAAAGCAGTAGAGGCCTTTTAAAATGGAGACATCAAACAAAGCTTGTTATTTAAGCAGTTGGTAGTTAATGAACCTCTAGCTTAGCAAGGGTACCTAAGCGTTAACTGTCTAGGAAACCTCTCTTGGAGAAAACACTAATGGGGGTGAGAAAGAATCAAATGTTATGTTTATGGAAGGAAAAAAAAAGATAAAATGTTATGTTTATGGGTGATCAAGTTATCCACAATTAATATATTTCACAAGGGACAACTTAAGGATTTGCAACAAGAAAAGTATTAGTGGAAAGGCTTCTAGAGTAGACTCATTAAAATGATACAGGACCCCCAATGAAGTCAGAGGCAGCATTTTTTTGGAGTGATGGCCCCAAAAAAGCAGGAGGCGAGAATCTGTTGGTGGCTGTTTGTCATAAGAGGTCTGCACAAAATCCTTTCTGTTGAATGTATTTTCCTTCGCTATTCTGTAAAAGGGGATAGTGTCTCCCCCCCAAACTCCCTCATTTTTCTGCTCAGCTATTTCTCAGAGAAGATGACAGTAACTTAACAAACCCATTTATTAAAAGCAAGAAATAATTCTCTCATCTGAATCTGTACTGCAAATATTCTGAATATATTACAGGTGTGCTTTTTTCTTTTCTTTCTCTTTTCCTCTGTAAAATATTTGGACAACAATCTAATGAAAACCTACAGGAATAATCTATATATATCACAAGTTTGTGTGTGTTTGTTTATTGCATTACCTCTTGATAATATATCACAGCATTAATAAACAGAAATCAAGTCTGTATACATATGAAACTTGTTTTCTGATTAAATTCTTGTCAAAAGAAATTAGTGTAGTATTTTTTCAGTCAGTGGTGCTTTGTAAAGACTTTCAGATTTTACTAGAATTGTGTTCTGTAAGAACAGAATGTAGGTATTCAATCAAAAGTATTTATCTTCTACTTGAAAAGATGTTAATAAACCTATACCTCTTTTAATATAGTGTTCTTTCACTAAGTCATCTTTCTTTTCTCACAGTGATATTGTCATTTTCTAAAAGGGCTCAATCCTGAAGTTCTTAAGCAAGTTTATAAGTAGTTATTGACTTTACAGATTGAGGAATGGGATTCTGTTGAAGGATGAATTGCTTATGAGGTTGTGAATGGATGGATTGTGAATCCAATGAATTGGATGAGAATGATTAGGTTTGACATTGTATCATGGATTTATCTCCTGGGATAAGTGAAAATTATTTCCAAAGGTGCTGATCAATGTGAATAAATCAATATAGCGGAGCTTTCAGTGTTCATCCACAAAAAATTTTCTATCGTCAAAATCACCCCCATAACTCATGATCTTGTTAATGTTACATGTTCACATATTTCAAACATGCTTTAAATAGTCTTTAGCTTAGATATATCCACTACAATAGCTTAATAATGATTCTATGATTCTATGATTCTATGATTTTAAGGGTCAAAATTTCTTAGGGCTATTTAGAAGACAATACCATCTTTGCAAGTCACACACAGAAACTAAAATGGAGTATCCAGAAACTGAATGCTTAATAAATAAATAAATAAATATTTTAGATGTTCCTGCACACAAATCCTTGAAGTTCCTCTGCTCTGCAAAAGAGTTTTGTAGCTGGAAAAGAAGTTTCATATATGATGCTTAATTTCAGAATTGAATTCATACACTCCCCCCCTTAAAGTTCTGCTTTTGTCCAAAATTATTTTTCACAAACTGACTCTATTCTAGCAGTCATCTTTCATAATGTCTTGTACTTTATTGACAGAGCTTCGTGGAACAATTTATTATTGAAATGTCACCAGATATGGAATTTTTTGGAAGGCCCGTGAAGATAGTTCTCCCCTTTCCCAGGAGACTCCAGCCACTGTAATAATGCCATTTGCAGTCCCATTGCAGTACCACAAGGACTTACAGCCCCTCACAAGTAGGGAGCTGGAGGGAAATTGCATGTGATTCTGCATTACATGTCGAATAAAAGAAAGGGAGGCCAAGTCCCCTTCCCATTCACATGAGGTTGTGTTTACATTTGCATATCGATGCAATTTTTCAGCTTTCAGTGATTCCTCCTCTGCACTGCAGAACCTTTCTTGGCATAGCAATGGTGACAGAATTATGCCAACAGGGGCTCAAAATATTTTTCTAGAAGTAATTTTCCTACTGGCATAGCATATCAGTGCTCAAATATAAACTAAACCAACTGAACGCTGCCTGTAAGCACAGTAGTTTCCACAGCAGGGGTTTTGCTAGCCCACTGATGAAAATGAAAGACACTGGGCTTTCACCATCAAAGGCAATGCCCATGTTACAGTAGAACATTGCATTGGAATTTTTCTAAATAAAAGTTTAAAAGCATAATTTTAGAGAAAAATTTTTAAACAGTTTGATGACATTTAAGGTACATTTTGTGGAATGACAGCTGTTACAAGGCGCATGACTACTTCACTATTGATGCCCATCTTTCCTTACACTCTTGGTTTGTTTGGGGAAATCAAATTTGGCTGTGGTGTTGAAACTGCCTCTCACTTTTCCTGCCTACGTCTTTTCCCTCCCAGTTTACTTATCATAATCAAGCCTTAACATCATGCACTCAATTCCATAATTTTCTGACTGTAGTATCAACCTCAGAAATAGATTATAAAGGCAACCCTAACAAGACAAGTCAGAAGAGAAAAAAGCATAGAGATGTCCAGAAGATAACAAGCATTAATTACATTGATAATTGTAATACAGTAATAACAATTATTCCAAAATACATAGAAAATGAAAACATTTCTCTAACAGAAACTCAGGAGAGATTTTCTTTTCTGAATCTCTTCCCTCTGCAATGTGAATTTTTCCAGAGCTCAGATATGGATGGACAAAAAATCCCCTCAGTACACATCTCATTTCCCGAAGAAGAAAGGGATACGCATCTACTGAAAAACAAGATACTCTGTCTAGCATTTTCTCCTGGTTTTATACGTTATGCAAATATAAAGACGTACTTAGCTATCTGCAGACATTGCAGGAGTGTCAATTTGAAAAGCAAAAATGTAACGTCTCTGGAATTGCTACACTTTCATTTGGGAATCCACAGGCATTTCAGAGGATTTATGATATTTCCGACTTCTCACAATGATGCAGTAGTACTGGAAACCAAGCTGTACAGCAAGAGGAAGCAACCAAACTCATGGCTGTACTACTGAAAACAGAAGACAATTTGTATTCAACAACTGTATCTTGACACTGATATTTGGAACAATTTCTGAAGGCTTCTAAAAGCTAAAAGAAGTCTGTGACCTCAAGGCAGCATATTCACCACTGGTGGCACGGAGGCTATTGTTGTTACATTCGCGTTTTATACTGGGAATAAGACAATCTTATAACAGAAATTCTGCTGCTATTCAGTGGCATTTGCAGGATATGAGCTTTAATTACTCCTTTGGTAGTCCAAAAACTGTCAGCAGAATGGTGGATATTTCATTTTTGAAGTCTGCAATAAAATACACGTTGTATCTAAAATACTGAACATCCAATAATGAGGATACTGTAAAGGACCAGTGTGCAAACGAGCTGCAGTGTACTGTACCTGGTGAATGAAGTGGAGGGGAGCACATCAGAACAACTCCTTGACCTTCACGTACAGAGACAGCACTTCTTGTCCGACCGCTAAAATTCCCCAGATCTATCAAAAGAACAGAGCATTTTAGTTACATACCAAATATTTTAAATTTTTTGGCTAATGTGACTTACATTTTATTTCTTCTTATAAAGCTGACAGTTCCTTTTTTCATATCTTAATCTATAATAAAAGGGCCTTTAAAAATGAATCTATTTCCATTACAAAAAATTCCATGTTGCGTCAGCACTTTACTACTCTTTTTAATGCACTTGGATACAGTATCAAAAGAAAGGCAGCAGACAATATATATATATCATTTACAAAAACAATTAACAGTGCTTTTATTTCTTTTTGCCATATCCTGTTTGGGTTTTTTCACCAATACAATTGATTCATGCACAGTGAAACAAAAGAATTAAAAGTGGAGAGAACACCTTGGCTAATGTCCAGTCTGATGATGTTGCTAAAAACATGATGATGTTGCTTTTATGATGAAAAGGGAAAATCAGCCTCACTGGTTCTAAAATCAAATCTGGTCTACGGCACATTGACTCTTTTAAAATAATTTCTTTCTGATTTCTCCAATGTTATAAACAAAATCCAGTTGTGGGTAGATATATTTTCCCTCCAAGAGTTTCCCTCCTGCAGGTGAATAAGGAACATTTAACTTTTAGTACAAAAACTTTTGAATGAGACTGTAGGGTGCTGCTATCGACAATTCATTGTGTTTACTTAAAGCCTCTCAACCAGAAGGTCCAATTACTCCATTTACCAGAGGGAACACTGGGCCTGGATTCACATTTGAGGTGGATAGCTGTGCTCTAACATGTGTGTCTGTAGCAGAACAGATGTGACAGCTCAGTTCTGACATCAGACTGATGTCTTCATCCATTCCTCAGGGCCAGTGGTACCATCTAAAGCCTCTATTCACGTAAGGTTTTTCTAGAGACATTTCTCTCTGATGTGGATCAAGGGGAAGAGAGCTGCAATAAAGGTACCCAAACATGTCTTTGAAAAGGACACTGAAGCTTCAGCAGACACTAAATGAGGATCTGAAATATGAATAGATGGGGCCAGTGGGAGCATCTCTCATTGATGTTCAATCACCTATAGATGTACCTGTTCATTTCTGCGTACAGACCAAGGTGCTGGTGTGAGCCACACAGCACCGAACAGTTTGAATAGGTTGAGTACAATTAGTACTTCCCTAACTGCACTCAGCTGACAGTTCTCTGTCAGATGCTGATGCTCCACATCTTACTCCATGGCTAGCAGTGCATAAAACTGAAGTTCGATGATTCTCAAAAGTAAAATGGGTTGATCTTTGGTGGATTTCATAATGGGGTTTGATGCACTTTTTTAAGTAGAAAAAGAGTTATACTCTTTCCAAATGTTTTTTTCACATTTTAAAAAAGATATCTTCAGCATAGACAGAAGCCTAAAATTTAAGTGTATCTGAATTTGCACTCTTTAGCCAAAATAAATCTTTTTATACATTTTTTATTTTTTATAAAACATTTGGATCAGGGAACCAAATAGCTGAATAAATGAAAATACTGTGAATTCAATCGTAAAAACTCATACCAGTGTGAGGAAACATTCTCTGTAATTTATGAAGAAAGCAGACAAGAAAGCAATTTTTCTACTTCTGAATAAATTTTCTGAGGTTTATTTTCACAAACTGTTTCTGCAATTTATTATAAGCCTGAAAATAAGTAATCAGAATTTTCAGAAATGATTTTATTTTTTAAAAAATTAAGAACTTCAGTCTTTTGATTTCCTGTTCCAAACTCAATTTGAAATATTGAATTATTTAAAAAAATTAATTTTGGAAAATATATTTTATTTTCTTGAAAAAAACTTATAATTGACATAACTCTCTGGGAGGATAAAATATTTTAATTTCAATGTAGAATCCTGTGTCTCCTAGTGTTAAATGTTTTTGTCCTTGTCATTAAGTTTTTACTATCTGTGATGCACAACCTGGAAGACAGTGAACACAAAATAAGGGAAATTTGTGACATCTAAATCGTAACTTCTGTAGGCAGAAGTAAAAGTTTTATAGTTTTTGCTATTTTTTTTTTCCTCAAGTGAATAAATACTATTTTCCAATTAGCTATAGCAACCTCAGGATTTTTTTTTTCCAACTTTCTGTTTTGTATGTACACTGTGATGGATAAATATTTTTTTTTCTCCAAATGAAAAATAAAGATATCCTTTTTTTAGTTAAAAATAAAAGTACTATGTATGACTCAAGTTTCTATTTGTTCAAATCAATTAATTTCAAACTAAAGAAGGCAGGTAAAAAAGAGCTTTTCATTTCAGCTCTTTATGGCTGTTAGTTCTGAATTGGATTTCTTGTTAGCATACAGTGAGAAAAAGGATTAACAGGTACAAAAGCAGGGATTTAGCTGTAAACCAAATACATGTAGGAAAGCTTAAAAGGATGGAAAGGTGAAGGGTCATGCTTGCAGTTCCCCCACATTAAGTCCAATATGGAAGAATAAAATGAAAGGGATATTTAATTCATTTTATGCGAATCCCAACCATTTCATATCTAGCTATACTGAAAAAAGAAGACAGCTATAAAAAGCATTCAAACCCCTATAATTTTACTTTAAAAACTCTAAAAAAAAGATAATGAAAGAAAGTGTGGACAGAATACAGCTTTAGAGGCAGGGACTGTAGCCTCTCACACAGCAGTGCTGGCCATCGGTTGAGCATCCTTGCTCAGTATAAACCCGTAACAAGTACGACATGTCAGACAGCCCCACACAGAATGAATCTATCCTTCACCTTATGATGATGTATATTGGTTGATTGATAAGAAAATGCCTTTTTGTGCTCCATAGGTGTTCATCTTATGCCTTGAAAGATTAGATTTATTTACCCTTATCTCAGTGCTAGTGGCAAAGTTGGTAACACTTCTTATATTTTTTTCAAAACAGTTCCTCAGGTTTTAGCTACCAGACTTCCATACTCTTTAACACGAGGCACAGCCTTGACAACTGTATAGTTAAATTTCAGTCACTATTTGTAATATAAACATAATATTAGCAATATATATGCAAAGCATGCAAAGAACATTTAGGGTGGAGTGTGTGTGGCCAGAGTAGCAAAATTGTCTTTATTGCTAAAAAATATTAAATTTAACAAATACTATGCAGTGTCACTAGAGAACAACCTATGACACTGGCGTGGTCTCCACTGTGAAAGGGAAACAGTAGAGAAATTCCAGAGCTAGTGAAGACGTGAGATGTTAAACCAAATGGGTTTGGTGCAATGCTTTCTGGACATCCTACCTACACTTCAGGTGTAGTTAGCTCAGCGTAGTACTCAATCTTTGACAGAAGTTATAAACTTGGGAAATGCATTCAGATCTGATCCAAAGTGGCTGCCAGGTAGTTTGGCTGTCTCTGCAGTAGCTATCCCCGTTCTTCTGAAAGGAGCTGTTTCTTTTGGTACACATATGTACACCTTGATGTGCCTTGTGGAAGAAATGACACTCACCACCACAAGAGCATCAGTTTAAATAAGACCCAACAGAAAACAAAACACTTCTGCAGAAGGTGAAAGGAGTAATGGAAAATAAATGAGAAAAATCTCAAGGCAGTCAAAGCAACAGAAAAGGTTTGCAGGACTAGCAACAAAACAAACAATTAAAGGGGGAAATATTCTGGCATTGCCAGAAGGACTTGTACAAAAGTTGGAGCAGTCTTTACCACTTAACAGCCTCCCAATTTGCCTTCACTGTGTTTTAGGCATGCATAGGATCATTCTCTGTGTTCATCAGCTGGCTGCAGCTGATGGGGGCAACAGTGAAGGGGCAGGTTTCTGTGACCCAGACAACATTCCACTGATTATTGCTATGAAATCAGGATCAAATTAAAAATGAAAAACAGATCTTGTTTTTATTTTAGGGGATTACTGCTTGGTAACCTAGCATGGAAGCTGTGGAAGGCTCTGTAGTTCATTAGCGGTGACTTAAACCAGTCTTTTAAAATAGAAGTTAGACTGGTGCAGAACAACATTTTCTGCCAGCCCAGTTCTGTGAGTTTAAACTATCTTATGTGCAAATTTATTACGTAGTTTAAAATGGACATCATACGATGTGTATTAAAATGTTTAAAAGCACATGCTGAAGATATGGAAAGTATAAAGCAGGCAATATCCTTTCTAATAAGGTAAAAATAGCTCTACACAAGGTAAAATTCTTCTGTCAGGCCAAGGACAAACTTATTCATTGCATTGTCACTACAGAGAGGGTAGCCTTCCTCTCCTTGCATTTGAAAGACAGGACTAAGAAATAGACCTTGAGTTGGACTTGTAGCTCTTTAAAAACCAGTAAGATTTACAGGGAAAAGAATTCCAATAAAAATATGTTTTTCAAAATGCCATTACAACCTAAATCAAAAATATGGTTTGACGGTACATTGTAAACAATGGGAAATATAAATGTTGTCTTCAATATCCCATAATCACAGGCTATAGAAGAATGAAAGGTAGGTATTTAAAAGAAATTAGATGTATGATTTTAATTGGATGAATTAAATACAATACTCACAAAATATCAAGATGGCCAAAGAAATTAATAGATCATTTCGTAATGACATGCACTATTTTCTAGGAATACCAGATTAAGTAGGTGAAACTGAATTATTATAGTCATTCATTGGACCTAAAAGTAACTTTTAATACTGAAGTTGTTAACTGGAAAAGGTGTGAAAGGAACTCGGACAAAAAGATTTCTGCCATGACAGAAACATCATCTCGCCATGGTTGCTGGGAAAAGCATACATTTTGAACTTTTAAAAATCACATTACCATATGAGTTTTAGGTGACAAAACAAGGGCAAGAAATATGTCGTGCTTATTATCATTGCTGTTGTTATTTATTACCAGAAAGCTTTTGAATCCTTCATGGATCACCAGTCTGACATGACCTGGAAAAGGTCATATTTTTTCTCAGAGAAGTTACTATGCAAGTATATAATGAGACTCAACAGAAAGAGAGAGGGGGCAGGGAAGCAATGATGTATTTTAAGCCTGTATGCCAGCCATGC